AATGCGACTTACACATTGACCCAAACGCCATGCCCGCCGTGTGCCCCTACGGAGGATCCCTTTCACACTGCGGGAACGACTGAAATCGAAGTTGGATGACATGGAGAAAAACAGCATAATCGTCAAAGTAAAAGAACCCACAGAATGGGTAAATGGACTGGTGGTCGCAGAGAAACATAATGGGAAACTCAGAGTGTGCCTTGATCCTCGCAATTTAAACAAAGCCATCAAAAGACCCCATTACCCACTTCCAACATTGGATGACATCACACCAAAGCTGGCAGGAGCACAGTACTTCAGTGTCATTGATGCTCGCTCAGGCTATCCAATTAACCACCAAGTCATCTCTCCTCACCACCTTCAACACGACCTTTAGCAGGTACTGCTTTCTGCGCCTTCACTTTGGGATAATATCAGCACAGGACATTTTCCAAAGGAAAATCGATGAGACATACAAAGGGCTCAATAGAGTGGCAGCCATCGTGGACGACATCCTCGTGTTTGGCAGGACAAAGGAGGAACATGACGAGAACCTCCATGCCATCCTTGAGTGCACAAGGGAGCGAGGAGTGCATCTCAATCCAGAGAAATGTGTCATAGGCGCCACAGAAGTGAGTTATTTTGGACACAAACTCACCCGGGAGGGCATTCAGCCAGACCCAAAGGAACTACAGGCCATCAAGGACATGCCACCTTCTGAGAATAAGAATGAGCTCGAGACAATTCTTGGAATGGCGAACTACCTGTCCAGATTCCCACCATGACTATCAGAAGTGAATGCACCACTGCGTCGGCTGCTCAAGCAAGACTCGGAGTTTGTCTGGGATCAGAATCACGACAGAGTCTTCCAGCGAATGAAGGATCTCATAACCAGAGAACCAGGCCCCATACTGGCATACTGCGACATGACCAAGGAGCTACGCCTACAGGTAGATGCATCAAAGTATGGTTTGGGAGCTGTGTTGATGCAGGACAGACACCCAATAGCATATGCTTCAAAGACACTGACCCCGACAGAGGTTAACTATGCACAGATTGAAAAAGAACTCTTTGTAGTGCTTTTTGGATGCAAGTGTTTCCACACTTACATATACGGCAGAAGAGTCATTGTCGAGTCGGACCACAAGCCGTTGGAGCACATATTAAAGAAGCCAATCTCCGTAGCCCCTGCTCGTCTGCAGCGCATGCTGTTACAGCTGCAGAGATACGACACAGAGATTGTGCACCGGCCCGGAAAAGACATACCTGTGGCCGACACACTGTCCAGGAAACCATTCCTCGACCAAGACAGCACGCTGAGCAAAGGCATGGAGGACCAGGTCCACTCAGTGATAAACAGCCTCCCAGTAAGTGACAAAAAGCTCTCAGAGATACAGGCTGCGACAGGATGCGGCCCGCAGCTCACCCTGCTGAAGCAAACCGTGCATGATGGCTGGCCTGAGAACAGGAAAAAATGCGCCAAAAACCTTTTGGACTTCTGGAACTTCAGAAATGAAATTTCACAGTTCCATAGCATCATCTTCAAAGGTGACAAAATCATAGTGCCAACAGCCCTAAGAAACAATATGCTGGAGAGAATCCACGCTGGGCACATGGGGATTGAGAGGAGGGCAGAGAGCGAGGGACGCCCTCTTCTGGCCAGGCATGGGCAAGGACATTGCTGCCACGGTGGAAAACTGTTCCATATGTCAGGAGAGGCGTGCAGTGAACCCTAAAGAACCTCTCATTCCACACCAGATTCCTGAGAGACCATGGCAGGCCGTGGCCTCAGACCTCTTCATATGGTGTGGACAAGACTACTTATGTGGACTATTATAGCTGCTACTTTGAGGTCGAAAGGCTATTTTCTACCACCGCAGGGTCCGTCATCAAAAAGCTCAAGGCCATATTCGCCAGTCAGAGAAGCTTATTTCAGATAACGGCCCATAGGACAGCTCTCGAGAGTTCAAGGACTTTGCAGTCACATGGGACTTTGTCCACACAAGCTCAAGCCCTTTGTACCCACAAAGCAACGCCCTTGCCGAAAGAACAGTCAAATCAGTTCTGGACACAGCTCATGCTCAGGGAGTAGATCCCTACCTGTCTCTATTGGAGCAAAGGAACACACCAGTCGATGGCTTCAGATCACCCACGCAGCTCCTCATGACTCTACGTCTGCGCTCAGTGCTTCTCATCACCGGATACCAGCTGGTACCCCGCATCATAAGCCTGACGGTGGAGCAAAAGACATGGATGGAAAGACAAGAGCACCAGAGGCGATACTAAAATCGCAGCACCGCACCACTACCGAGGCTGCAGCAGGGGAATCACATCCGCTTTCAGCATGAGTCCGGAAGCTGGAAATTGGCTGTCATCATCCGGCCTGCAGAGACTGCCCGCTCTTTCGTGATCCGCGCTGGCGAGGGGCAGACTATACGGCGTAACCGACGGCACCTGAGAGGCGCTAAGGCGTCACCAGCACCCGATTTGGTAACCCAGCATGAAAGTGCTGCTCAACAACAAGCAGAGCCTCAGTCGCCATCTAGAGGCACTAAAACACCACCCATGGACACTAGCCTTATACTGACCACCAGATCAGGATGAGTGGTCAAACCGAGGGTCATCCTTGACCTGTGATTGTAAAGGGTGTAGGCGAATCGCTCCCCTAAAGCAAAAAACAAAACAAAAAAAAAAACCATATGTCAAATGTCGGTGTGTACTAATGAGTACATATCCTGTGTTGCATTATTGTTGTTGTTCTCTTGCAGCAGTAATTTTACACATGACAGTGTGGAAAAAACTGTTTCTAATCCTCATGTTCAGGATGTTCTATTTTGAAATGCATACCGGCTGTGCCACTGGCGGACATTTAACAACAAAACAAAACAAAAAAAGGCAGATGTTGTATTGTTTATAATGTTTGCACTCCGTGAGTATTGTCCCTTGGGGTTTGCCGTAGTGGCAGTGGGGCAGGTATGATTACGGAAGTGGAGGTGTGTTAGGTTGTACCGAACAAGTGGCAATAAAGAAGATGGTGGCTCACGAAGCAGTTTGAGAATATGTTCCTTATAAGTTTAAGAACAGAATAGTACAACCGGCCCGCCATTATAGGAAAAATCATAAAGCCTCTGAATGGAAACAAACGATGTTGTGAGAATGATGTACACTGTTTTGATGGTATATATGCATCAATCTATCAATTGTTTGTTGTAAGATTCAGATAATTATTTTTT